GAAATGATCAAACCACGGAATATCAGGGAGGTAGTCATCCGAAGGGCCAACAGCGCAGTGAAAGAAGATCATCGCAAGGGTCGCATCCAGGATCTCGTTGTGATTAACATCTTCTCCCAGAGCCTCACATAGTTTAGAGATGGCTTCAAAACGGTGCCGCATGATATCATGGTCAATTTGCTCACCGACCAATCCTTCGGTAGTCTTAAGGTGGATGGCAGCGACACTCAGACAACAGTGAAGATAGCACTTATTTGTCTCCAGAGCGCGGAGAATTGATTGCGCGCGCAAGTGTCCCTTTTGGTGAGTTTCTAGAACGGGGAAAATCTGGCGTAGCACATTTTGGATAAAGTGATCGAGGAGTGGCCGATCATGATCGCTGATAGCAATATTGCTTTGTAACAATGCGCATGTGTGATCAAGGCTAGGGTTGATACCTCGCGTATTGGCACCATTTGAGGCCTGAGCGAAATATTCATCTTCAAACCATTCATCACCAGAAAAAGTTGGCATTGGAGCACTGAGTTGGGGAGGTGCAAATGCACTGAATGTCGATGTCGAAGTATCATGACGCATAGGCACATCGTTGATGAATGTCTGCCGTTCGGTTCGCACATCGACCTCATAGGAAGGTACGTAAGGTCCACGAGGAGCACTTCCTAGCCCAGGAGTAGGCAGCTGGGATGAGAAAAGATCGTAGGACTCGTTGTGCCTGGGGCGACCATGTTCGTGCACAGGCGAAATTGGCGATCCCGCAGACATATGGCGATGACGATTTATTGGGTCTAGAGTGTCCTAGATGTCAGTTGAAAATGTACGCGAAGTATGAATCGAATAAGCACATACCACAGCGGATACCGTTTCGCTCCAGCGTCTTGGTTTCCTTGATCCTGTTCTTGATGCGCTCCCTGTGGGCTCTCCGTTTCTCCGCATTTGCCCACCAGACCGGGAGTTTGTATTCGCATCGCACATTAAGACTGACACAGGCGCTGCAGGCAGGGTGTTTCTCGTCGCACTTCTTCCGACGTAGGCGGCATGTGAAGCAGCCTATTTGAATTAGTATAGTTCATAGGAGTGACCTTTTTAGGGACAGTGCGCAAAGATAAGGGCGGATCACATACCAGACCGGGATCGCTTGTGTAAACGACCATTTGCTCTATCTCCATGTGTGTGAGGTGTGCACGGAGTCAGTGACATATCTGCCGAAGCAAGAGGCCTAGTAGCAGAGGCAGAGGCAGAGGAATTCTTTGAGATCGGCATATTGAAATATTGAAATTAGATGACCGCAGAATGATCGATGAAAGTGATTGTGTAATCAAAAGACCAGAATCAATTGCAGATAAAAAGAGTATGGCAAAGCTGAACCAGCAGGCTTTGTAGTCTATCAAGATATAAAGAAAGGAAAGGGAGGTTGACCGAGCAACTGTGAGAAAGATGATGAAGATGAGGAACTAAAACCGTGGGATTTACGATGCTTTAAAACCGATGATAGCTTGTGGAAAGAGAAGCGGGTGTTTCTATTTTAGAATCCACCTGCACAGTTCATAGATTGAGTTGGATAATTTGGGGGTCATCAGCACGAGTTGGGGTTGGATCGTCGCCGAATATTGCTGGGCTGGGAAGCCAACAGGTATAAGCAACCAATGAGAGTTGCAGAAAGGATGATAAAGGTTGCACTCCCGTCTTTTGAGACTAAATTTGGGACAATTAGCTCCGTTATTTTTGTGACTTGAGGTCGCATGGTGGCGTTAGCGCATGCACCTCGACGTCCAAGTTCCTCGAGGGACTGGATGGAGATCGTCCGGTCGGACTGGGATTCCGTACTCTCTCCTCCGTAACATGGGTGGCTGCATATAGCCCATTGGACCTGGATTGATTTCGATCTTCGGGTTGGTTTTTAGTTCCTTTCCACTATGCAATAGTCGGACTCCAACCCAACAATCAGAGTTGGTGTTGGCATTTGAATCCTTTTACACAACCAACTGAGGGATTTAACAAATTTAATACGTTAAGCCTACTCATAGTGGATGCCGCTGTCAAAATCGCTTGACCTGCAAGGAACGAAGGCGGGGTCGAGATGTGACGAGCAACAGAGCCGGGATAAGTTTCGTTAAGTTACTAAATTCAGAAAAATGTCGCAAAATTTCGGACAAATTTAGTACAGTCCCGCGGCATTCACCATAACCAATGATTGAGATCAATCATCTCTAGAAGGCTGGTAGATCACGACTTGAACTGAAGGATTATGAGTAGTGTGACAGTATAGGTGGAGTAAGCCAAGCTTTCAGTTCTCGCATCATAATTGGATAAAGAGAGTAGAGTTATAAAATTGCTCACTGCTCGACCGGGGCCATTGAGAGCTCTGACTGGGTGGCTGGGGTATAGCGTCCCACGTCTGGTGCTCCGTGCAGATTTGGGGAGATGTGATGTGATAGACGTGCATATATACTCCCTTAATTAGCAACACTTAACCGCCCAGCTTCGGCACAATGCAAGGTAATTTACCCCATCCTGTAGTTTATTCTATCTTCATTTTTGGTCAAATTAACCTTGAGCATCTACTTTTCAATGAATTTACTATTAATAACCTTCAACGGAGATCGAGTTGAGTCCTAAAATAGGACAATTAATTTAATATCGAGCTTCATTTGGTATAGCCTTTGCTCCGTCAAACCCCGCTCAAACTGCTAGAATGCCTGTCGCTTTTCTTCCCTTGTGTACGACCAATTTCCCATCAGCAACGGCCGACTGCAGATTTGGCTCTCGATTGGCCATCGTTACTTACGAGCAGAGTAAATAATAATTGATCAATCCATTACCGTATTCAACCCAGTTCTAGCCATTCAACCCTCGGCCTGTTGGAAAATTTCGATCTACACATCCACACGTCCAAAGTATAACGCACAATGAGGAAATTCCTCGTGCCTTCTCAACCTATCATAAACTAGGACTTGTAAACCAAATCAAAATTTCCCTGGTCCACTTGCGGCTTTAGTTATCGGGAAATAACGATATCAAGTTTGTGATGTAGTTCGCGGGTCTCAATCCAACGATCTGTACTCGTACGGAGTATATGCTTAGTTATTTGCTAGTATTCCGACCGAATGTTGACCACGCATCATCCAGCGTTCAAACCCTAGGTAGTTGCTGGTCGCGAAAATATATCAAGCGAAATGATGCCTCGCATCTTGATGTCGGCTTCCGTTCTCCTAGGGTACCTAGATACAGACTGCAGGTATAGCCATCCTTCTTTGTCATTCTATTCTACCTATTGAGGCTTCGGAAATATATCTACCAGCCGTGATGGTATATGTGCCATGTTATTCTCAATTGCGAATAATCCCTTGAAATTCGGTCTTGCAATGTTGTCTCCAAGATAAAGCCCAAAGCCCTACTCCGTACTTTTAGACTATCCTACGTTACACAACCACTCAGAAGAAAGTAGCACATCCGACAGATTGGAAATAAACACGGTACGGAGTATGGGATATCTATCTGTAGCTATCCGGTTATTGTCTAGGCTGCCATTTCATATTTGCTGCAACTGAAGTCTTATACAGATACTTCACATTCCTAAATTTTCATATTCTATGAGGCGCATCGGGTTAGCCGTCATAATTTTATACTCTATGGAGCCGAAAGCAATGTGTTTAGTTTATGAAATCTTTGACAGTGGGATTTAGACGAGTCTATCAAGATACATAAATGAAACCTCTCATCTCAGACCGAAATAATAAAAATTATGATATGGAGTGTGTTCTCCTAGTTAAATCTGGCAATTTATGGCGTTGATCTCTTCCACATGAACAACTGTAGCTAATTTATCAATGCGTCGAGAAATATGCAGCATATGGCACATCCCAACCCCCCACCCTAGCTTACCTACAATACGGCGGTGAAAGAATCCAAAGACTGGAAAAATTCAGAAATCGGCCAGCAGCATTCCATTCCCATTACCCGCCCTCCCAGGGTTAGTATCCTCATAGTGTGTTTTAAGTGCCTGTCAACATATCCTCCAGAAAGGGCACAAGTCTAACATAATTGTATCCGTACACAGATCATTCGATTAGCCCCCAAGGCTCATATCATATCAACGAATAATAAGACGAACGTAAGAAAAACATGTGCTATCCAAGCCACCAAGCTGCTAGTCCATAATCAAAAAATGAAACCGGGCATATTTTTAAGTATTAGTAACGGAGCGCCGTTGGCAACGGAGACCCTGGCAAAAAAAGACAGGGGCATGACTCGAGGAATGGGGATCGCAATTAAATATAGTAACCCCGAGTGAAAGTTCACCTTCCAAGAAAATGGCGTAGCGCTAATTGAGGGTTGATGCGTGGTCGTCACGCTGCGTCGGGTTCCTATAGGTGCGAAGTGGGGGAGGGGTTGCTGCATAGGCGCTGACTGCACATCAGTCACATCTTCACTCCAACGTCGACAACGTTATCACTTTACAGAAATGCGCATCCTTCAAGCCAATTAATGTTTAAGCTTGGGCCGCCTTATTTGGCAAGAATTGCGGTGATGGGTTATAATTGGGCGATGCTAATGCGAGGTGCTTGCATCTGAAGCGGAACTACTGCAGGTGAATCACCTCGTATCACAATCACATATGCCCTTAATCCCTGCTCTTAGCCAATCGCCTCTGCTGTCTGCTACCGAATTTTAGTTACGCGCTGAGTTTCACCAACTTGGTATGACACGGAATTTTTGTCCCGTTGAGCGGTTCGGGTTGGCTAGATCCTTTCCCCAGCGCTACGTGGTAAATGATTTCTTAGCACAAAGGGCAGACTTATTACAACCCAACTGCCCCAGTGTGACGAACTTCTGTTGGATCTCCCAGCCCTGGATCTCCGCTCATATTGAGTCTATTTTCTATCTCCATACTTTCATTTCATCATATTGTTGGTTCACTGCTGTGCGGGAACTCTAATAACACCACATTCATTTAATTATTCTACTATATCTTGCAAATTACCATACTCACGATTAACGACATGGTAAGCTGGAATGCGAGGGAAATAATATGATCGCTGCTAACCATTTTAGAATATGAACTCATCACTGGCTGCTCGGCGAAGGGTAGTACCTGCTGAGGTAGACACGACAAACCACGAGTGGTTCTATCCCAAAAAGACCGTCGAGAAACAGCGCCCTAACTCAGGGGCAACCTTCTTCGATGACACGGATTCTGAGAGTGGTGACTGGCGCCAATCGCACCGGCAGAGTATGCAATCGGTAAGTGACCTTATCCTTGTATCAAAATATGAAGCCTAATGTAGTATGAACCAACCAGTACAGTAACGGGAGCAACACTACTCTTTCGAGCCCCGAGCTACCCACTCCAGACCTCCTGCCAAGAAACCTGCCTACCTTTCGATCAAGTAAGGAACTGATTGCGGGCCCTTCAGGTCCTGATTTGTTCAGAGGATCCAGGGGTTCGACTGTGGATGTTGAATTCTATCTTGAACCGTCACCTTCGCTCGATTTCAAGTCACTTACACAGCCTGAGTTTGTCAACCCGCATCAGGCTGAGTTCGTCAACCAATACCAGACCGAGTTCGTCAAGTACCAGGACGAGCGCCCCAACCAGTACCAGCCTGAGCGCTCCAACCAGTATCAGCCCGAGTTTGTCAACCCACATCAGCCTGAGTTCGTCAACCGCTATCAGCCTGAGTTCGTCAACCAGTACCAGGATGAGCGCCCCAACCAGTATCAGCCTGAGCGCTCCAACCAGTATCAGCCTGACTTCGTCAACCAGTACCAGGATGAGCGCCCCAATCAGTACCAGCCTGAGCGCTCCAATAAGTACCAGGCTGGTCGCTCCAACCCTTATCTGTTATCTCCTAAGACACCAAAGGCTTTTCCACGCAACCCCGATGTGTCTCATCTATCAAAGAAGGAGATTAGGAACTGGGATCCTAGCCAGGTCGCTCACTGGCTATTTATCGGTGGATATCCCGATGATATCCGTGACACGTTCCTCAAAAATGATATCACCGGCGACATTCTGATGACTTTGACAAAGGATGAACTCGAGTACCAACTCCGAATCCAATCTATGGGCAGACGTGTCCAGCTCATCCAATCGATTGATTATCTCCTCGAGAACATGCAGACGAGACCGATTCCAGAAACACCGTCTCAGTTTCCGTCCGAGGCGGCGTCTTCTAACGGGAGAAGATCTCCCGAATCGTTCGCCCCCCAGGAATTGGCTCCTAAAAGAACTCCTACAGGCCAATCTTATACAATGTCTATTTCGCCTGACGGTAAAATTCTCTCTTCGCATGCCTTTGGACAGAGTGGGGATCAAAGCACCGCAGACGCAGAGTCTATATCGATTGTTGGAATCGAGGAATTTCATCCGAAGCCCCACAGGTGCTCCAAAGGAGAGAAATGCAGCAAGTTTAAGAAGCTCAAGGAGAAGCGCCTGAAGAAGCTTACTACAGAGTATCCCGGCGCAGATTTTCAGGGGGGTGCTATCTTTGTAGGCAGCCCCGGAAATCCTGAAACCGCGAGAAATCTTCTCCGGCCCACGTCCGAGGCCGAGCTTTCAGTGATGGCATCCTCAAATATCTTTGGTCCTCGGTCCGGACCAAGACTTTCTGAGGCAGCTCTGAGCGAAATTCAACGCTTAGATCCGCAAGAAACAATCCGAAACTTTCTCAGGCACCAGCATATCGATGACTTCCCCAAGCCTGGACCCCTTGGGCTGGACACTCACAATCTTCCGCCGGCAGACGACTTTGAGGACATCTCCCCGCTAAATGCTCAGTCAAATTCTATGGCCGCAAACCTGCGCAGTCTTCCGAGGCTTACGATCCCAACAAGCCCACTCACGGAAGATATGACAACCGCTGTTACCACCAACAGATACTTCACTCCTACTCATCAGAATGGCTCTCCTACTGCTGTTCAGCAATTTGGCCCATTCAGTCAGGTTCATCAAGCCCAAGCAACTGAGACTTACCGCCAAGGTACACCATTCTCTGAAGTTGATGTCCCTATCACTGCAATCCCCAGTGATCCGATCTCCCGTGATGTGTCTCAATCTGTTCCCCCAAGTATGCAATATGGAACCTTGTTCCCTCCGTACCGGGATGCCAATCACCTCTCACGGAGCAACTCGACCCGTCCCAGTGATGATCTCCCTCTCCGTGATGCCAACTACTTTGCACGGAGCAACTCGACCCGTCCCAGTGATGATCCCCCTCTCCGTGATGCCGATTACTTTGCACGGAGCACTTCGACCCGTCCTCGCGATGCTTTCCCTCTCCGGCAGGTGAACGAGGGCAAGCCTCTGACCCCGATCGATGTTCCAGCAGACCTGATCCGAAGCCCCCGCGTGAACCAGTATGGTAACAGCAGCTCGCTAGCTCTGGCCGATCCGGAAGTTACCCATGCGGGATACATGAAAAAGCGCAAGACCACACGTCTGCTCAGACACGAGTGGTCCGACGCACACTTCACGCTCCGTGGCACCAACCTGGCCATGCACAAGGACGAGCGTGATGCGCACCGCATTTCACGTGCCCTGGAAAACATTGAGGTCGACGAATATGCCGTCGCTTGCTCGTCGCTGGCGACAAGCTCCAAGCTGACGGCTGCGTTCAAGCGCTCGATCTTACGTAACGGAAACAGTACCACTGACATTCGTGATGGTACCGCTTTTGCTTTCTCGCTTATTCCAGCTACAAAGGAGAGTGAGAAAAAGGCTCTGTTTGGAAACAGCGCTGTTAAAACCCACCACTTCGCTGTCAAGTCTCGTGAGGAGCGCATCGACTGGATGCGTGAGCTTATGCTTGCCAGGGCCCTGAAGAAGGGTAGAGACGGCGAGGATGGTACGTCTATGGATGGGAATATGATTTGAGTGTTTAGATTAGTGGTCTTGTTGCTTTCAGCTCTTTGCATATGTATACGCTTACAATTCGTTTGGTGTTCTTTTATTTTTGGTGTGCTGCGGTCCCCACCATCGTTGAAGGAACTACCTAGGTATCATTGCTCTGGCGCTTTTGTTGGTACATATTTATTTCCTGTGTCACCCCTATGGACAAATTCACGAAACGCGTCGTTGTGAGACGGTCAGACTGATACCCCTTGATTAGTATAGTTGCATTTAGTTACAGAAGAGGTAGTTAAGGAATTCAAATTGTTAATGTGCGAATCTTATTTTTCTTTATAACATACAATCTTTCTTGATTTTGTAAACGTACCCAACTCCCAGCTCTCCGCGGCTCACTCATATATATCTTCTTTTGCCTGAACATTGCCGCTGGAGGTGTTTCCCAATATCATTTGTAAAGAAGCAGAAGGAATACCCTTTATTTCAGTCTACTCTACTAGCCTACAGTTGAATATGGTTCATCTCTATCTTGCAAAGTTGTTAGCATCCTCCGAGGACAGTGTAGACATATATTCCTTGCTTGGTGATGCTATATCATCCCATCATCCGAACGACTAGATACGCCCACCCATCTCCATAAGCAGAGCTTCTCACAACTTCTTCGATCGGAGCAGACATGGGTATCACAGCACCGTGTAGCACGGGCTTTGCAAGGACAGGGGTTCTCCGACTGGGAAACAGATTCGGTAGCAATGTGTGTAAAACAGTCCCAACCGTTTGAGGCTGGAGAGTGGAACCGCTCCGCGAGCTCAACATTTGACTTGACTGCATACTGGGTGCTGGTATGGAAGGAGGAAGTGGCGATTGTACCACTTTAAGGGAGGGAGACTCGGCATTTAGCGGGAGTGGTAGAAAGATCCGGATCGGAACGTTGCGAAAAGGTTGTGAGAGCCGGGGAAGAAGGATATTTGATATGCGCTGAAAGGAAAGAAGATCGACTATGTTTCTTCGTGTTAGGATTGTCTCTATGATTGATGCAGTAGAGGAATTTCTACACAGAATGTTTGACTCACGTTCTTGAACGGCATTCCAAAGCCCTGATGAGTCTTCTTTTGAGAGACTCATGATGCCCTTAGCTGTACCATTTCGTAGGAAATCTGCTTCCTTCACACTGTTTATAAAGGCATCGTTCATGACCATTCCATCGGCATCAAGCCGAACAAGGTCATGCGGCCAGTCGGTAAAGTGCACTATCAGACGCCAGGGCAGCGGTGGCCCTTGGTTAGTGGACTCATTGTCTCTTGTGGCGGTCTTCGAGGCCGGGTCTGCTCCCGCATAGAGGTCAAATAACAGCCCGACTGGGTAGTGCCACTTCAGAGGCACACCCTCAAACTCAAACCAGCCATCATGAGACTGGGAGCTTGGCTCTATCAAAAAATTCGAGAAGAAAGCTCGAAGCCTAGGTAGCAACGAGGGAAGATATGAGATGCGCGGATATGAGATCTAGGAACTGAGATCAGCATTTGTGCATATCAAGTGCGTGAAGAACAGACATACAAGATATGGATCCGTCTTATCAAAGGTTCGACTTTCTGATGAGGCTAGAACAATCTGCAGTGGCAAGCGCCCGTCCCAGACGGCCTTCTGGATAGATCCGAGAGACACTCGGTTCTCCATCCTGAGGAGTGATAAGGCGCTCGGTTCTTTCTTTCAATGTTTGCTTTGCTGATCTTCACACGCCGTATTTCAAATTACTAGACACGCGCTGAGATTCGCATGTCTTCAACCGATAAGACTCGCGGATTTGGAAATGCCCCGCTTTCGATATGGTCATGATCCGGGAAACGGCGTATCCACAAAATTCCAGAGATAGTCGGCCACTCTTGGGAAATCAAGCGTTTGATTCCAAGGAGATACTGACGGTTCGTGTTGACATAGCGTGACTTGAAGACGCGCCAAAGGTTGATGGCACGTGTTTCTGCCTCAGGCAATAACCCCAATATTTATGCCTCAGGCTCCCAGGTTTCGATTTCCAACCTTCCAACATTAAAGGAGCAATGACTTATGGCCAATATATATGCAACCTAATGATGCGATGGAATTCAAGGTAAGCGGATATTGCAGAACACTGGTATTTTCCAGATTCTGGATATTCAGCGCCACTTTCCAGTCGTGTATCTTCATTGACCATCAAGGTCCTCTGTGAACTTTCTAGATTTATCTACATCTTCTTCTGTGCGACTATACACCAAATATTTTTGCACGTTAAAAGGCTTAACATCACGTCGGCATTAAATGCAGTCGTGGCCCATTGTTCGCATTTCTTGCCCAGCTCTGGTGCCTCATTTTATTGACATGGCTCCAAATATCAAACTGTCCATCCATAATCTACAGGCACGACAGCGGCGGAATACAATTGAATCGCCTCGCCGAGTGTTTTTCTGTCCGCCGTGCTTTGCAGCCGCTTTATATTCTTGGTATCACCTAGATTGGAAAGCTTCTTGGCATGATGTTCCTACCAATGGAGCAGTGAGTTCTAGCCATGGAAGCATACTCCATAACTGCTAACAAGCGATCAGCAGACCAATACTAGGAGCAAACCCAGGCTGCACGTTTTAGTGACATCGATCTACAAGTATGGGTGCAAGCCGTGCCAAGATTGCGTTGACAGGAAAATCGTAAAGCCGAGAAGTCTTAGAACTGCCGCCACGGATGGCCGAAGACTATCCCGAGGTGCCACTCATGTAGCTTCCATACCACCTCAAGACTTGGCCTCGCAGCCGACAGGAGGAAACTCCAGAGCTCTCGTGACTTTCGTCTGGAAGCTGCTGCCAACAGGGCACGCAATATGAAAGGATTCGAGTGTAGGGCTGCTAGAAAATCCAAGGCTGGGGCTTTTTTTGCGCTGTTGTAAGGGGCCTCCAATTTCTGCAAGATCGGCCAAATTTAGCCTTGTCCCCGCAATCTATGATACACAATACGTATTCATCCCCCACGCCGCGTATTCGCCTGTAGGTTCTATGGCGAAGACTGCATTTGTGGATATTTTGGCTCAAGAAAGACGGGTACTCGCAAGCGCAGAGAAAACCCTATTGGATATTCACCAAAGTCACCGAGAAAACTGTGAATTCAGAAGCACAATTTCTTCAAGGCCCATAGGATAACGCTGATAGGTTGTGACAGGTTAGTACCAATAAGTCCTTTACTCTAAAATTTGGCTTGTATGACTCTCTTAGGTAAAGGCGACTCGCCATTCAACCTCAATTTCAATAGTGCATTCTTGAATACCAAGGCCGGGCGGCAGCCACGGCGTCCTTCCAAGCCGGAATCGGGCCGAAAAGAGCTTGTATAGTTCTGATCATTTAAACACCACCGGCAACAACATCAGGATCATATAGTAACCGTGTAACTTTATTGGATGAGCACATTGACTCATGTATCTATTTGTAATCCGGACCCGACCGCCATGTCAACCCCGGAGTTCCGTTTAGTGTAAATGTCATTCACCCCAATTTGAATGCACTATCCCGGGCGGGGCCTATTCCGCCATTTCCGGGGAATCTTATGGGAGATTCTAGGTAGGGACAAGTAATGATACAACTTGAAAGATTCCCCATAAGCATACATACAAGCATACATACTAGTATGTACATGCCCAGTTAAAAATCCTTCTTTCTTCTATATTCCTACTCCGTAGCCTACTCCGTGTTTCGGTTAATGACCCGAAATCAAATAGACTTTTACCCCTTCTTCCGTTTGCCGTCGGTGTGCTTCGCTGTTCGGACATGTACGGTATTCGGGAGCTCGGCAAAACTCCGCGGCTCCACTGGTGGTTAAGGGTTCTCCCCTATAGGCGAATGAACGTTTTTGCATAGAACATTTGGGGAAAACAAATCACGGGGTAATCACTCAACAAGCGGGACTTCGCTGTGCCAGTCTCCCCCACACTACTACAGTTCGCACTCCAGTTCCCCTCAAACTGGAGACAATAATCCGTCACGACCTCACCGGAGCCCCCATACGATGAAACACATACATACATACTCGGACGGCTAAACGTAAAACTCTTATCCGGTGTGGAAGCAAAAGTACTGTCACAGGGATATCTACCATCTACTGCACCCAATAGAAAACTCTTGAATAGGAGGAAATAAGAAATTTCCGGTGAGCTCTTCCAGTTTGATATACCTCAAAATACTATAAAAGGCTTATTTGCCGGCTGAATGTTTCCTCCGGGGAAAACGCTACCCCGGCCAATGTTCCCACTCATAGCATCTTCATGCAGCTGTAATCATCGCCGTAGCGTAGCCTCACGCTCGAACCCCATATTATATTGCCCCAGTCTATGGGGTTTTAGGCGACATATGTTGTGGGGAGCTTAGTTGGGGAAATTTCCACACCCACAGTCCATTAGGATAGCGGGTATTACTTAGGGCCACGTTTTAGCACTCCTCGACTCTTCTTCCTCCATCTGTCTTCGAGCAAAATCTTCTTGGTTTTCTCACCCTGACCTTCAATTCTACCTCGCACGCACAGCTCGAGCTGTCACCTCTTCAGCTATGGGCATTCTCACACTTGCTGAGGATCGGCCAACGCCCAAGTCCGTTTACAACTGGCGTGTATATGCACTCGCCGTCATTGCATCATGTGGTTCCAATATGATCGGCTATACCAGTGCCTTCATCGGTACAACTATCACACTCTCCTCCTTCATGAAGGAATTCGGCCTCGACGAGATGTCTTACACACAAAGGATTCTGATTAGCGAGAACATCGTCTCACTTTTCATTGCCGGTGCCTTTTTCGGTGCCCTGGGAACATATGCCCTAGGCCACTTCATCGGCCGAAAATGGAGTTTGGCTGTTGCTGCCACGGTATTCTTTCTCGGAGCTGGACTACAACTCGGTGCTAACAGTGCCCGGGGGCTGGGTATCCTCTACGCTGGTCGTGTGCTGTCCGGTTTGGGTACCGGTGTAGCCTCGAATATCATTCCCATATATCTTTCCGAACTAGCGCCCCCTGCAATT